TTGCTTTGACATTCAGATAACAAAAACATGTAGATATCATTTTCATAAATAAAACATTAGGGCCAATTGAACATCACTAAAGTAATTATTTTACATTTCATTCATTCCTTCATAAAATACTGATTTCCACTGCTACTTACTGTATTTGTGGAGCTTAGCATTATTTTATCTATAGAAATACATATATTAAAATATAAAGCCCTAATGAAGACATGTATAAGGTAAAATTATTTGGGATATAAAACTGTATCTAAGTTAAAATTTTCTTCTGTTGCATTTTTTCATTAGACATTTTAAAAGAATTAACTATGATCTTTTTTCAGAAGAAATAGTTTCCCTTCATTCTTTTCTTTCTTTTAGAATACACCTGAGCATTTACATAAAATGGCTGAACATAATCTCTTGCTTCATTTGAAAAAGTTGGAAAAAGAAGGGAAAATATGTGAGTATGATACAAAACTTAATTCTTTCATTATCAGCATTAAAATCACTATTTAAAAAATAAACTAGGTTTCCTTGAGAAAAATAATTATCATCAGAGATTTCCCTTGATATCTCTGAAAGTTGTAGAGACAGGCACAAGGAATGATTAGTAACAAAAGGCCAGCAAACCACAAATTGGAATCAATTTGTGCCTGTAGAGACAGGCACCAGGAAGGGTCAGTAACAAAATGCCCGTAGACCACAAATTGAAACCAAAAGCTCCTAAAGTAATTAGAATCTCACTAAAGGGTTCCAGTCCTCACCCACCATAATGACAACCCGAATTGTATAGTAGAAAGATAACTCTTCTTTTCCAGGCCATAAGACCATGAAAAATTTTACATGTATAAGATTTGAGAACAATCTTAGCAGCAATAAAAATAACAAAGATTAAGAAAAATTCTAAAGTAGTTAATTCCATAATTGTTTACTAGTGTTAGATTGAATTATCAAATTAACAATCTTTCTGTAAATGCAATCCTTAAAAAATAGCAGCATTACATTGAGAAACAAAATTATTTTAGGAATGAACACTTGTTCAAGCCGCAAAATAGTTTAACATCCAGTGAATTTGTTAATCTGTTGTTGAATATTTCCTCTTTCATTTTCTTTCCACAGTTAGCAACACAGAACCTGACAAGAAATGGAAAGCTAATCTTTAGTTTCAGATTTCCATAAGCTTTTGTTTTCTTTTCTTTGTAGATGATAATATGTCTTCTTAACTATGAATTATTCACAGAGAATATAGCATTAAGAACATTGAAATTAACCATATATGAAATTTAAAATGTCATATTTATTCTGGAATATCTAAATTAAATTTTACATGCATAATATAGTTATCTAACCTACATCTTGTAACATTTTACCAAAAATTCAGAATCCAACAATTTATCCATTTTCAATAGGTTAAATAAAATGTTTACTTAAAAATAATAAAATCATGAAATTTAAACTGGAGGTTGATTTCAGATTATTTTCTAACTAGTGGTCACTAATGTTTTCTCTAATTGCTTCTGTTAGTAGCTGATACCTATGTAATTCTTCCTCTTCTCTACCCCTATCTATAGCTGTAAATAATAGCTTTATGTTTCATGTTTATCAGTTATATCATGATAATGTGTTAATTCTATAGATCTGTATCATGTACATTTTCTCATAATGGTATCCCACAAATGATTTATGCAAATCCCCTTTAGGTAATTAAAAACATTAACTTCCCAATTAAAAACATTATATAATCATTATTCCTGTAATCTGTTACACTTACTTTCCAAGTTTAGATTTTAGTCATCAACATACAAATTAATTTCATACCAAAAGTGATTTTTTTTAATTAAAAGATTAAGATGGGGCTTTTTTTAATAGATAGTAATGTTCTTAAATAGTGGCTAGGTTCTCAGGTTCGCCACTAATGCCTATTTAGCCCATAAGGTTGCCAACCTATGATATAAAAATGAACTCAGTATCTTGAGAGAAACTTACTTTGCTATTTCCTAAGGGTAAAACTTAATTACAAAAAAAAAAATTTTTAGACATCCTTCCCTGTTTCTACCCTTTTTCCTAATGTCACTGGCACTTTCACACTGTCCTAAATACTTACATTTTAGAGACCTGTTGTTTTCCTGAAATCATACCATACTACCAAGCAACTATGACTCACAAACAAAAAAACCCAATTCAAATACAGGCATAGGAATTGAATAGACATTTTTCCAAAGAAGATTATACAAATGTTCATTAAACATGTGAAATAATGTGCAAATTAAACCACCATGAGATGCCACTTCATGTCCATTAGAATGACTGTTACCAAAAAACAACAACAAATTAGGTGTGCGGAACTGGAGCCTGTCATCGTTACTGGTGGTATGTAACATGGTACAGCTGCTATGGAAGACACACTCAAAAAAGCAAACATAGAATTATTTTCACCAGTTTCAGTACGGGTATATATATCCAAAGGGTCTTGAATAGAGTATGTATACACCCAGGTTGATGGCAGCATTAGTCACAATAGCCAAAAGATGGAAGCAACACAAGTGTTCACTGAAGTGTAGATGGATAAGGGAAATGTGGGATGTACATGCCATGGACTATGTTTCTGCCTTACAAAGGAAAATACCTGCCACACTTTAAATGAAAGTTGAAGGCACTATGCCATGTGATTTAAGCTAATCTAACAAGAGGATAAATACTGTATATTTCCACTTATGTGAAGTCACTAGAGTAGTCACATTCATAGAGACAGAAAGTAAAATGGTGGGTGCCAGGGGCTAAGGGGAGAGACAATGGAGAGTTATTGTTTAATATAAATAATTTCAATTTAGCAAGGCGAAAAAATTCTGGAAATGGAAAGTGGTCATAATAGTATACACAAAAATGTGAATGTATTTAATACTTAAGTGTACTAGCAGTACACTTACAGAGAATACATGTAAATAAATTTAAGGATAATAACTAAGTATACTTCGCAAAAGAAAAAAACAGTACTCCAGTTCCCTAAACATACCATAAAAGCTAGACAAGAAGAAATCTGATCAGTTGAATATTTGAATATTTCATTACTCTTGATTTTGTTTAATTCTATTCTTTAATTACTCTTCACTTCCATACCTTCCTATTACTTTGAATAAAAACACCACTAAGTTGCCCAAACCAGAAAAACCCAGTAGTTGTTATTGATATCACCACGACCCCTCCCCCATGTCATTTAGTTTGTCACCAAGAATATAACTGCCTGTTCCACCTCCGGAGTTTATCAGTACTCCTGCTCTGTCATTCTCTCTTGCCTACACCACTGAAATAACCTTTAACTCTGGTCTTCTTATTTCCATTCTTGAGGGGTTTTTTGTACACTTGAAAAATATGCAATTTATTGTATAGCATACAAACACAATAAAATGGTTTTTAAGAATGGAAGAATGAATGAACTATAATTATATGAAACAGTCTATTTCCATTCCTGAGGGAGCTAGGGAACAAGGGTGAGGAGGACATTCTGAACTGAGGAAAATGCACAAGGCCATGGAGCATCGTCTTTAAAGTATCATGAAAGCTTCAAGCTACAAGTGGAAAAGGAGTGACAATGGAAGGCTATGAGATTTACTCATGATGGAAAGAATCTAAGAATCTGAACTTTAGTTCATGAAATACCTGCTTCATAGTGGACCAGGCACTGGGAATACAAAGGAGTACAAAACAGCATCATTGCTGTCAAATAAGGCTCCTATTCAATTGTGGAGACACAATTACAATATGCTGAGATGCTATGAAAGAGGTCTGGATTGAAAGAGATTAGAAAGTCATTGGTATTGAGGTTGCTGTTAAAGCAAGATGTGTGTAGATGAGTGGGGATACAGGAAAGAATTTAGCACGGAAAATTAAGAAAGCCTAATCAAAGATAGGATAATCGCCTGGCAATTGGTGATATAATGGCCAAGATAAGTATCAAAAAAAGAAAGTTTACAATATTTAATGATGTTCTTTTTATATTGTTTATGCTTATTTCATCCATTCGTATTAAATTTGCCCCAAAAGTGACTTAACGGATTTTATCTTGGAAAGATAGGTTGACCATATGGTAGGCTCATTGTTACTCCTTTCCAAGACACAATGAAAAAATAAGGAATACAAAGATACAGATTTTTTAAAAAACAGTAAAAGGCATTTGATATGTTTAAGCAACACCAAATAGTAAAAGGTATAAAACCTACAAATGCAGAGTACAAGAGCAGATTGCAAAGACTTTGCCAAATTTTGAAAGCAGGTGATCTAGAGCAATGATACACAACTTTAGCTTTAAGATTACTAGAGGAGGGCAGAGAACAATTTTGCCCTTGAAAAGTTAGGGCTAGAGGCCCCAGATACTGAGGAAGACACGGTACTGCTCTGTTCTAAACATGGGATTGTTGAAAACCTGTTTGGAGCTTATATACATGTTACATAGACAGGCAGCCATAACTCCAAAAAGAAACCAGAGTTTATTCTTGCAAGGGAAAAGTAAGTGAAATAGTAGACCTCTATTTGTTAACCACCAAAGAGTCTAAAACTGTCACCAGGTCAAAACCTCTGTCACTGGCTCTGGGTCTGGCCACCTGCCACAAGTGCAAACAAAAGGGCCTCTGGTGAAGAAAAAAAAAAAAAAAACATTCTGACCAACTAGGGAAAGCGAAAAGGTTGTTATCACCCTTTGGTACAAAGTGGAGCTGCAGCTGCAAGAGCCTGCAGAGTGCAACAAACGTCTGCCACTGGTGCCAAACAACACCCCCTCACCCCATCTTGGGGGCAAAGACCCGCCACCTACATGCTAGGGTGGCTGCTTTCTACTACAACTCCAATAACAAAGAGCCAGGCAACAAGCACCACTCCCTTCTAAAAACTTCCAAAATTCCCACTGTATGCAGCCCCACATCAGGATGTCAAGGGTAGAACTCAAACCACTACACAGCGGGCATTTTCTCCTCTGACATGGGTAGTATTTGGCTGTTAGGGGGTGAAGTTAATCTCTTTCAATCTGGTGGGAAAACAGGATAGTTTGTGCCTGGCCAGAAAAGCTGTACCAGCCACTCCAGGCCACTACAGGACAGTCTTCCGACTGTCCTCAGAATAGCGATATCTAAGTAAATGAAGGTCAGATAAAAGATCAACAGTGTTATCTACAAAGAAATTGAATTGTTTAAAAATACCTCACAGATAGGTTTCTCAAACCGCTTCTAAAAATGGAGCTTCCCAGCAATCCCGCTCCTAGGTATCTACCCAAAAGACACAAAAACACTGATTCAAAAAGATATCTGCACCCCCATGTTTATTGCTGCTTTATTTATGATTGGAAAGACATGGAAACAACCTAAATGCCCCAAAGTAGATGACTAGATTAAAAAGATGTGGTACATGTACACAATGGTATATTACTCAGCAACAACAACAAAAAAAATGCCTTTTGCAGCAACATGGATGGAGATGGAAAAGATCATGAAAGATCATGCTTGGTGAAATAAGCCAGAAAGGAAAAATACTGAATGGTTTCACTCATAGCAGGAGTATAAAGGACCAGGGGAGAAAATAATAATAATGATGATGAACAACTATATATCAGAGACATTTTACAGGTGGAGTGGGGAATGAATGGGGTCAAAAACAGTGGGGGGAGGGAAGTGCACTGGACCATGGTGTTGGCACATGGGTGATGTGGTGATGGGGAAGCCCATGGGGATTACAACTGAAATGGAAAAAGGCATAAAATGATGTAAAAATAGGGCCCTCCCTGCTTGCACAGCAGGTTAAAGCACTGCATTATGAAGCTCGCCGAAGCCACTGCAGCATGAGTTGGATCCCCAGCCAGGGAGGTGAACACATGACTTGGCAGACCTCTCCTGACCACCCGCTGCTCCCCTCAGCAGTGTATTTCTGTTGATCTGCCTGTTCTGCTCCCTGCTCTGTCTCTGGTGAATCCTCTCACCCACCACAACTTTGGTCTGCACCCCAGTTCTGTAAGCATAAATAAATATATCTTTTTAAAAAAAAGTAAAAATAAATTATTTTTTTTTAAAATGATGTGGTACATATATACAATGGAATATTATTCAGCAACCAAAGATAAGCTCATGCCTTTTGCAGCAACATGGATGGAGCTGGAAGGGATCGTGCTTAGTGAAATAAGCCAGAAAGGAAAAGAAAAATACTGGATGGTTTCACTCCTAGCAGGAGCATAAAGTACCGGGGGTGGGTTGGTAAATAATAATGAACAACTAGATACCAGAGATATTTTACGG